TCCCTTCCACCACTGAGTTCAGCTTTCTTGATATCCTTGGAACTACACTGTATTTTTCCAACCATAGGATTTGGGCCTCTTATTCTCTATGGAATTCTGAATTTTGCCTTTACTGGTCATACTCCGAGAACAGAAGGGCTCCCCACCTTAATAGTAATTTTGCCCTCATAGCTGAAGGTCAACTTTCTGCAGGAATGGCTCCTCACATAGATTTCCTTTCAGCTATTGTTAATTCATTCTCTCTCTCTCTTTCTTTCTCTCTCATGTTCTTTGGAAAATATTAGCCACCCACATCCCCTCCTCCTTCCTCCATCTGTTCCTCTGTAATTTAAATGGACGTCCTTTACTACAGGCCTGTCCAATAACTTCAGATAGATCATCAAGTCTCATAAAGAAGCAGATTGTTGTAAATGACTTGTCTGCCCAAGGTAGACAGAAAGAAAGGCTGGCTGACTGAGATCCCAGTTTGATCCTGGGGGCTGCAAAGGCTGGAAACGTGGAGTATAAATGGCAGGTTGCACCATCAGCTAACAACTGTGAAGGGTATATCCATGTCTGAGAATACAGGGGCCCTTTTAGGCCTTGGAAATTATGACCAGTTGTTTTTGGAATGTGCCAGTGCTCTTCTTAATGTCATAAAAACAATTCAGAAGACCCAGTGGAGGTATAGGAATGAGGCACGAACAGAAAAGTCCTCAGAGGAATCTCTCTTCCCATAAAGCTCTCATGGAAGGCGTCCAAACCGTTCTGGCTGTTTTGCCCATCAGGGATTATCACATTGTATCCTGGGGCTAGTTAGGTATGTATAGAAAGTTGGGAAGTGGTTCCCATTCAGTTTCATCTTCTTTGTGGGAAGAAGGGGGAAACTCTGTTCAAAATTCCTGAGAAGTGTTCCCTGTTGGGGTAGTCTCCGAATTCACTCAAAACGTTGTGTTAGTGAAAATTCAGCCCCAGGCAAAAAACAACCCATCTTGGGTAAGAGTTTTACCCTTCCTTCAAAGAGCTGTCCAGCAGGATGGTGCTGAAACTTTTCTTTGTAACAGCAGCCTCCGTATTAGCCTTTCTCAATCCTGTGCCCATAGATGGACTACAAAACCAACAATTCTCAGACAACAGAACCATTGGACATATTGGGAGAGTGCTAATTGCCTTTATGGCTGCAGGGTAGAGTCGTTTAAACTCTCCTTGGGTTTCTTTGTCCCATGATTGTTCTGTTGGCATTCTTAAAATGCTGCCTACTTAACGCCAAAATGCATTTAACGTCACACTGAACGTGCGACCTTTCAAATAAATTAATACCCTGAACACCTTTTTTTGCCACTTGCAAAATGTAAATTTAAAGAGAAAAATCCAATTTAAACCAACAGGCAATCATTGTGCCTGCAGTACCGATCCTCAGAATGATTTGTAGCGCAATAGGATCAAACCGTATTGGACAAGATAAGTTGCAGAGGCGCACGGAGCTTCCAGGAAGGACTTTTCTTCTGTGAAGTTTCAGTCCAAACACTTGGAAGCACTTCCAAACTTCAGGGTGGGGAGGCCACGCTGCTTTGGACCAGCTGACAAATGGGATGGGTGCGCTCGCTCTGCGCACACGCAGAAGGCCTCTTCACGGAGATGAAGAAGCTAGCTGAGGCCGTGAGAAAGATGCACTGGATCAAAATACAGCTCTCAATGGTGGTTGGGATGTAAACTCTCACCACACAGTTCAGACCCGCATCCTGGAGTGAACTGAGTGAATTTCTTCATGGCTTTTTTGAGCAAAATTGGTGGCGGCAGCGGTAAGCATAGATGCTATTCTGAGGGAAATCAGCAGTTTCATAAATATACAGAACTTCATTGGGTTCATACCCACGTGTTTGTGATTATTCTTCTCAGGCACAGGCAGAAGGCTAAAAGTGTTGTTCTCCCTCAGGCAGGATGAAAAATACCTGCAGAAGAAACGTTTTTGCCTTTTTCACATTTTGAGAATTCAGCCACTGATTCTGTACTTCGGGTGATCCAGGTCATCCCATGAAGCCATAGTATGGTTTATCGGTTTGGGCGTAGCATATTATGTGAACACAACAATTGGCTTTTGTTTCCCCATGTGCAGAATTCAGTCTGTTGTGTGAATTCAGCCACTGTGTTGAGATGGTCTAGTGGTACCTCTGCCAAGGGAAAGCATAATAAAGGACCTTAATAGAGCTGATGAGCCATAAACCATGATTAAAAACCACGTTGGCTGACTGCATACAACACACTGTTTCAAAACCAAGTAAGCAGGAGCAAGGGAAGAGGCAGGGTAAAAAAGTCAAGATGGTGGTTTCTGCCACATGATTTGATCCCCACCCCCTTTTTTATCTGCATTATTCATAGCACATAAACAAGAGACAGAGCTTCAATGATGTCACCACCACCATCTTGACTTTTTTGACACGTGGATGACCTGAAGCAAGCCAACATGTGATTTAGCCTATTGCATTAAACCAGGCCTTTCCTAGTTACCTCTATGGGGCTGTTTCTGCTTCTCATTGCTTGTGGCCGGCTGTCAGTTCAACAGAAAGTAGAATGTAGTACTAGAATTCAAGATTTACCAGTTCAGTTGTATTACAACACCATTTTATAGCTCCCCCTGTTAGAAAAATGGTGAAACCAAGAGAATCTGCACATAAAAAACTATCATGTCAAATGAACCTGAGTTAGCACATTTCTCACCCTGATAAGCTATTTGATTTCATTCCAGGAAAAAATTATAATTATCTATCTATCTATCTATCTATCTATCTATCTATCTATCTATCTATCTATCTATCTATCTCAAAGCCATTTTGGAACTACCACAAACCTTGCCACCTCATGTGGAATTTCTAAGGCAAAGTGTTGCAGTTCTCATGCAATCACAGGATTGTGTCCATGATGATCAATCAGTTGCTGTCATGTTCACACCTGCAGGCTTCTTTGTTTTCAGCTGCAAGAGCCTGGTTCTAATTTTTTATATATGAAGATTATTAAGGGCTAACATTTATAGTCCAGACTTGCTCAGTCTTCTCAATAAACATTCCAAAACCAAAGAATAAGTGGAATTTATCTTAAGAATCCCTGATTCAAAGCAGTTTCTGCAAATTCTAGTATAAATGGAACTGTCTGTCTGTGAATCAATCTTTAATTGCCCAAAGTCTTTTGCTATTTACACACTCGATCTGACAAAATCCACAGCTCCAACAATAGATCAAGGTACACTGAAAAAATATATTTTTAGAGAGAAGGAAATTGATTTAGAAATATATTTACTTTTCTTTATTAATTGCATTTTTATTATGCCTTTCCTTTAGGAGTTCAAAGGTAGCATGTGTATGGACCATCCCTTATTTCTCCACACACACAACCCAACAATCTAGTGAGGTAGCTGGGTGGAAAGAGAGAGACTGGCCCACATCATCTTAGTGAGCTCCATGGTTGAGCTGACACTTGAGCCTGGCCCTCACTGAGATGCGGAGGCCCTAGAAAGCGTGCAGAGAAGAGAAACAAAGATGATAAGGGGTCTGGAGGAGAAATCCTGCGAAGAACAGCTAAAGGAACTAGGTATGTTTAGCTTAATGAAGAGAAGACTGAGGGGAGATAGGATAGCCATCTTCCAATACTTGAAGGGCTGCCACAGGGAAGAAGGTGCTGATTTATTCTCCATAGCACCTGAGGGTAGGGCAAGAAGCAATGGGTGGAAGCTTGTCAGAGGGAGATCCAGCCTGGAAATAAGGAGGAATTTCCTGATAGTGAGAACTATTCAGCAGTGAAAGAGCTTGCCTCCCCGAGTTGTGGGTGCTCCATCACTGGAGGTTTTCAAGAAAGATTGGACAACCATTTGTCTGAGATGGTATAAGGACTCCTGCCTTGGGCAGGGGGCTGGACTAGAAGACCTCCAAGGTCCCTTCCAACCCTATGGTTCTATGATTCTATGAGCCCAGCCCAATACCTTGGAATCTTTAAATACTGTACTATAAAAAGAGAGATTTTAATTCCAATTAAAAGAAAAACCCTAAACCACAGTGTTGGTGGAACTGACTGCTTGATTGATCCACCCATCTGCAGGATTGATCAAATTTTGCTAATCTTTTTGGGAGATGGCTGGATCCAATAGTAGAGAGTATATGTAGTTCGGAGTTGAGCTGTTGGGCTCTTGATGTTCTCTAAGCTTGGCTGTTTTCCTGCAGATGTCTTGTTACCTGACTAGGTAACATCATCAATGCATGGGGGAATGTATAGCATCACGCCCTGCCAGTCTTGGTGGGTGTGTGGCTTCCTCAATGGTTCCTTGATAGGGTATTGTTTATCTGGGCCTATTTCATGCTTACTGAATCTGGGTGTTAGCTTCTAGGGGGAATGTGGTCTGGGCTGTTTATTTCCTTCCTTGACTTTTGGTTGTACCTTTTTTACAATGGTATGTAGATGGGGGTTAACTTCACATGTCTGTTGACAGGCTCCATTTTTCTTTCTATCCGTGTGCTTGGACATACATGTCTCTCTTTCTCCCCAGGTGATCCAGCAGCAGAAGAGTGGTCCCAATGGAGTGTCTGTTCCCTCACCTGTGGGCAGGGCACCCAGGTGCGAACACGCTCCTGTGTCTCATCGCCTTACGGGACTCTGTGCAGTGGCTTGCTGCGGGAGACCAGGACGTGCAACAACACTGCCACCTGCCCAGGTAGGTGGAGAGAAAACCGAGAGTGGAGTTTCCTCCTTCCTCTTGCCTTTCTTGCTCTTTCTTTCCTTCATCGTCTTGCGTCACTTCCCGTAGAGTTGCCTGTTGACCATGATTATTGGAAACGCCAATCCAGATCATCACATCCACATGTTCGTAATAAGTCCCCTTGAAGCAGGAGATTGTCCACAAAACACATGGCCTGGTTCCCATTTTGATGTAGCTTTGTACTTGCTTTGGTCTAGCCCCAGAACGTGCCTGCTATAATTCACTCCTCCATTCAGCCCGTTGCTTGTCTCCCCCTTCCTTCGCTCCAAAGTCTGGTTCAGGTCTTGTTCAGAAACAGAAGGAAGTCATTAGGCCTGATTATAGGCCATGACCTGTGGATACTATGGAGAATTAATGAAATAATAATCCCAAGGGCTGTTAATAGTACCTTTGCAGCATGTTTCTAATATGTGCTATTTCATTAAGGAGTTTTCCACTCCTTCGCCTTGTAAGCCCAGGGCCTGCTAGGTGACAGGCGAGAGTGTGTCCCCTTGCCGTTCTGTCCCATCCTCCGCTTTCCAGAACTGCTGATATGGGTTGCATTTTTAACTTAAAGCAACTTTGCTTTGCTGCCTGCTTGAATAAGATGCTGGTACTCCAATTTCTGATCTTGCTTTGTCCATCTGGACTCTGCAGCAAGTGCCAACCAATTTCTGCCTTGTGGTCTCCACGCTATGCTGAGCTTTTTTCAAAGGTTCTTTTAATGAAAGATAAATTAGAAAAGTGGATTGCTCCAAAACCAAGTGCCAAACTCCAGCACTATCTTTGTTTCCAAGAATGCTCTGAGCTGCATCGGCCTCACAGAGAACGTAAATGGTGCTTGAATGAATGAATGAATATTTTTATTATGGTCACTGACCAGAATTGCAAACAAAAACACATTAAAAATAGAAATAAAGGAATATTTTTATTATGGTCACTGACCAGAATTGCAAACAAAAACACATTAAAAATAGAAATAAAGGAATATTTTTATTATGGTCACTGACCAGAATTGCAAACAAAAACACATTAAAAATAGAAATAAAGGAATATTTTTATTATGGTCACTGACCAGAATTGCAAACAAAAACACATTAAAAATAGAAATAAAGTAAAAAAAAAACAAGATAAAATATTACACTTGATGGTGAGTTCATCAGTGGATAATAAAAGTCAGCCTAATTTTACAGGCAGTATAACAAAATTTAGCTATGTTCAAGGAGACTGAACCATACTGATCTGATAATAGGAATTACACATAAAAAAGATGAGAATTTCCTGGGTGTTTTACCAAGTAAGGAGTCATAAGGTGGGTCCTTGAGTCCTTATAGAGGGCACAGTATAGCAGGACAAGAAACTACAGCCCCTTGTCCACAGGGATACAGCCTCAGCTCATAAGGGACTTTTTTGCATCAGCCCTCCAAAACTGCTGTGGGGAAAGCATTGAAGCATGCTAAAGTTAGTGCTTTCCAGAATTTGGAAACAGTTATGTGGTCTACGTATCTTGCTGGCTTGTAAAAAGAGGCTTGACAGCTCAGAAAAACGTTCTTAGGTAGAGCACACTGGTCCTGGCGGGCTTCAAGATCTTTGATACGTTGTTTAAATGCACGCTCATAACCCATCATTAGGAATGCCTCCCTGGAGAAGCCAAGATGTTGAAGTGTTTGTGAGATTGTACTGAGCCGTATTGATTTGTAATTGTCCTCAGTAAGGAAAGAACCCAGACCTGTGGGAAAGAATGGTAGCTTCAACCAATGTGTTATGATACAGGCCCATGCACCCGTTTCAACTTTAGACAGCCCTGCCTCCTTCCTTAATACTACACAAGGGGCTACCTGGAACAGAGCCTTTAGGAATTTAGATTGGACCCTTTCCAGGGGAGTAAAAGAAGGGTGGGCACCAAAAAGTCGTTGTGCATGAGTCTTAGCTGAACATAGCTTCGGTGCTGCTGGGATATGCCATGCTCCTCTGGTGAAGTGAAAAGATTGAATTGCAGCCCCTGTTTTTTGAGCATTTTGTATGGTGTAATTTTGGTGTGCACTGCGTTTGGTGGAGTTGTGGAAAACCATGTCCAAATATTTAAAAGATGTCACTTGTTCAATACTCTGGCCGTTGATCCTCCAGGCATGCAGTTTAGGACTCTTTGCAAAGATCAGGATCTTAGTTTTATTAGAGTTGATTTCAAGGGCTTCCTCAGCATTCAGAGCTCGTTTCAGTCCAAGTAAATGGTGCTTTGTTAAAAAAATTCTCTACCTATCCTGAAAAAAATGCAACAGTAGATTGGAAGCATCCTGGGAAGCTAGGAAATGTCATAGCGAGCAATCTTCCCAGTTTGGTTTCTGGGAAATGGGCGATTTGTGATTGACTATATCCCCCACGGCCCCCATTCAGGAAGTTGATACATATATACACACCCCAATACATTTATGAATATATAGAAAGAATCTATAAATTTGAAGATTCTAATAATAGGATAGCTCTGTCGTTTAAGTGTTCAAATGTCTTATCTGGAATTGAATAATATGTTCAGCTTACATGTGATTCCTGGCTCCCTGAGGCTGAATCGGTTAACTAGTGCTTTTAGGGTTGGAAATCCAGCAGGGAGTTTGTAAAAGTACTTGTAAAAGCAGCTTTAGTTTAAAGGGAATAGAGTTCTTAGTAGTAGTCAAAGTCCATAGGCCAAGTCG